TGAAATAACTGCAGAATGGAATGGTCAAACAGGACTAAATATTTCACGGGAAACATGTAGAAGGTGGATTCTCAAGTCTGGTTTAGGATTTTATAAAGTAAGTTGTGCTTCTATGTTATTAAAGTCAATTAAAATTAAAGTATTTTAGGCCAAAGAAAAACCTCTTCTTACCGAAAAACAAAAAAAAAATCGGCTGATATGGGCAAAATCAAAACGTTCTTGGACTGTAGACGATTGGTCCAATGTCATATTTTCTGACGAGTCAAAATTTGACGTCTGCGTCGGGGATTACCGGAAACGAGTAATCAGATCTAAATCAGAAGCATTCCATAAAGATTGCATTAAGCGAACCGTAAAATTTCCACAAGGTATAATGATTTGGGGATGCATGTCTGCAAGAGGTATGGGCAAGTTTCAATTCGTGGATGGAATTATAAACGCCGATAAATATCAACAAATTTTGCGAGAAAGTCTTTTGCCGAGTGCATTATCTTTGTATCCTGAAGGAGACTATATTTTCCAGCAATATGGTGGGTCATGCCATACGGCCAAATCTACAAAAAATGGTTTGCAGAAAACAATCTAAAAGTTCTTTCATGGCCCGCAAGTAGTCCAACCTTAATATTATTGAAAATATATGGCATAAAATGAAACAACGGTTAAGAAATGATCCACAACGAACCGTTTCCGATTTAAAAAATAAAATCACTGATATATGGGAACATCTTACACCAGAAATATGTCTATCATTAGTCAAATCAATGCCTAAACGAATCGAGGCAGTTATTAAGTTGAAAGGTGACGTGATTACGTATTAGTTGTTAACTTACATCTAAAAATTATAACGTGTCCGAACATTAATGTGTCACGTATTATTTGCATATTTCAGAATTTGCTTATGTGACCTGCTTATATATTTTCCAAAATCAAAACTATTTATGGTTTATAGAAATAGATACATGCATTGTAATCACAAATTAAAGTGAGAAAAATTAAAGTTAGTTTATACGTTTTTCAAGAGTGATTTATTGAAATAACTGACGTGTCCGAACATTTATGTGTTAGGGCTCTTAATAACCACTTGACAATACACTGATACGTATTTTGCCTAGGAAATTTGACATTTTTATCAGAAGTTGCCTCTAATTCACGGCAATTCATAGCATTTCTCTAATAAATCTTGTAAAAAAATATTGTTTCCATAAAATATTTAACAAATATCAAGTTGTAGTATGTTGACTGCAAAAAAAAATACTCTATCGAACAGGCCAAAAAAAATAATAACTTGACTATTACGAAAAAACAATTGAAAATCGCCTAACGTTCTGATGATGACAACAAAGATTAAAATCAGTGCTTGATTGTAGTATTTGTCAAGCCATTAACAACAGTCTTTTGTTTTTTTAAATAGAACAATTATTAACAGAGTTACAGCTTGGGGTGTTTTTTATAAGACAGCCTGCAGACCCGTAAACAGAAAGTCCAATCCCGGGATTCCACAACAGTTTGGAAACACATTCCCATAAAGATATTTCTTCAGTAAGACCAATTCCACCAAAATAGTAATGTACACAATTTTTCACGATAAAGCTTTGAATTTACAAAAAAAATTCTCAAAATTACACAGTCCTAGTAAAACAGACAATCAGAAACTAGTATTTTTATAGATTTATGATTTTGAAAGTTTCCTTTAAGGTAATTATCACCTAAATCGACACTATTTGAGATAATTACGAAACTTTCATATAATTACACTTGGCAGATACTTTTGCAAAATTTCAGCACATTTTGCCACATAGTTTCTGAGTTATGCTTAATCAAAGTTGACTATGTTTAGCATAGACTTAATGGCGCCGCCTCAAAAAATGTTGTCGTTACAATGAAAACGCTTTTTTAAAACTTCCCAAACGATTGTAATTAGTGATGTAAAATAGCATGCTATTTAGTTTTGGGTGATATATATCAAAGTATATATCAATATATATATCAGATGAATTTTGTTAAAAAAAACTATACTCAAATTAGTTTTTTTATATTGCTAATGCCTTGCTGATTAATTTGACACCAAATACATGTCATATATATGAACTGTTAGAAAAGTTATTAAGTGATCTTTATTTTTTTTCATATTTGGATTGGAATTTTTAATTTTTTTTATCATATTTACATTAAGAAACCTTATAGTAAATGTAATAATCTATTTGAAATAGGTTGTTGTTTTAATTAATAATTTCATTATAATTATGATGGTAATGACTTCTAATTTTTGTACTTAATATGATACCTACAATGACTGTTTATAAGCAAGTACGCTGTATATTAGCAATTTAGTTTTATCAACCTACAAATAAAAAATGGAAAATTTCTAGAACAAGAAAATTTAGTCTTTGTATATCACAATATTAAAAAAAATTAAAAATATAAAAATTTAAATAAAAATTATCAAAAACTTATGATAATAAAGAAACTGCTTTAAAGTAGTACTTAAAAATCTGAAATTTTAGGGGTGTTCTATAGATGGGGAGACCTAAGAGTGCACGTAATTTCAACTCACCCCTTCCACCCTAGGGGTGCGGAGGGGGTGAAGGGTGTATTTTTTAGATGTACCCTATTTATTTTGCGATTTTTGGATTCTACGCATAAAACTACCCCCATGAAACGCATTTTTGTGGGTACGTCTAAAAGACCACCACTCACCCCCTCTGCACCTACTAGGGTGGAAGGGGTGAGTTGAAATTACGTTCGCTCTTAGGTCTCCCCACTTATAGTACACCCCCAAAATTTCAGATTTCCATATTTATTTTTGACGGAGATATGCCCAGGTGCCCAAGAACGATGGTCATCGAAAAAACGACGTAGTTCATACGAGGGTGGATTTTGGTTTTTGTACGAATTCGGCAAGAACTCTCTTTCGGGAGTAGATTTACGCGAAGAATCCGAAACTCGCAAAATAAATAGGGTACATTTAAAAAAAAAAACACCCCTCACCCCCTCCGCACCCCCTAGGGTGGAAGGGGCGACTTGAAATTACATGCGCTCTTAGCTCTTCCCATCTATAGTACACCCCTAAAATTTCAGATTTTTATATTCATTTTTGACGGAGATATGCCAGGTACCCAAGAGCTATAGTCCATTTTAAAATGTAAGGTTAAGTTTGAAATTTGTCTGTGTTGATGAAATGGCGGGAAAATTGATACATATCAGCTATTAACATATATATAATAGCTGATATGTATCAAAAACTGATATATATCAATTTGTTATATATTTTCACTCACATCACTAATTGTAATGCATCCACTATATTTAAAACTAACCTAATCTAACCTTGTGCCCTGTAAATATAAGTTTTCATCAATCTCTCTCTCTCACACTACTCCTGAAACACAGCTGCGATCTGTACGATGTTGCCAGTAGTTGTCGAAACTACATGACTCAAATATGAGACTTGCTCGAAAGTTTTCTACTTGGGATATAACTACCTTAATTGAATTTACTTTTTGGTTTTTATTTGAATTATATTGTATAATTACTGATTTAAAATATTCTCTAAAAACCCCTAATGTTTTTTTTTAATTAAAAATTAGTTAACTTTAATTAACCCTGGTAATTAGTTTTTAACAACTTACCATAACTAGTCGAAGCTGCAATAGTGTATGCAGGATTGTAATTATTATTCCCATAATCCATTTCCGATTTGCTGAATGGAGGCATAGGAGGTGGTAAAAGAGGAAGATGCGAAGAAGTATACGAATAATTTGATGTTTGTATGGTGGTTACCGTCGGAGCCTCCACGGGTAAAGGCGGGTCCTGCACTACTGGAGCCGACGTCGTGCTGAAATTATTTATCGTTGCCAACATATTGTCAGATTGATTTTGGATCTCGTTTGTATTGAATACATTGCTGCCCAGATTCTAAAAGAGATTTTTAAATAGTTTTTATGAAGGTACTAAAAAACAATTTTATATTTTACCTCTAAATTAAAAGACATATCAGAACCGATGAAACTAGAAAATCCGTTACTGATAAAGCTGCTTGTAGAATTTGATCCTGCTGTGGTTACCGGATTATAATACCCGGGATTTGAATACTGCAATTCTTTTTTTGGATTGTAATCAGAGGCACCACTTACAGAAACTGAAAATATAGCAGAATAATTATAAAATTATACATATATTCAATACTTATACCATCTATTGCTGAAGGAACTTTGCCTTCAGTTTCTCCAGGTAATTCAATATCAGAATCGGGACTAGGAGAAGGAGCGTTGATGTCTGGAGAAGGTAATGGACTACTTAACGTTGTTTTATGCTCCTCTAACTTCTTCTGAAACGTTTTTACCCTGGTGCCGAACATTTTATAGGCCTAAAATACAAGGGAACGTATATAATACTATTATTTACTGATTAATAAACATACATTAGCGACTAATTTGACGTCTTTTCGATCAGCTTCTAGCTGATTCTCCGCCTGTTTCAAGACGCTTATCAGGGTTATTCTATTCTTTATTTCTAACTTTAAAGCATTGATGTAGTCCTCCATATGCTTAGCGTAGACATCGATTTCCTTTTCTACATCATCTACGTGTGCACGATCTACAACATTTGCTTCAAAAAAATGATTTGAATGTCCCTAAATAAATCATACCTTTCAAAGAAGCTATAAGACCATCATCTATTTGAATTTTTGGATTGTGTTCCTTCAATACCTTCAACTTAGCATCTGTATCCCTGTCTAATTTTGCACAAATTTTTATTTTATGTATCACATAATTAGGCTAGAATGAAATTATTAGTTAAATTAAATAATTAGCTATAAGATTTTATACCTGAAATTCATGAGGTTCGTCGCTTTTGGATCCACTAGGTACCACGCTCAAAAGTCCACATAAATCTGATATAAATTCCTCGTTATATACACCTCGCTGTTCCCAAATTTTAAATATTCTAAGAATTTTGTGTTTGACTCTGTCGTCCCTAGAAGCATATTAACAAAAATAAAAATTGGTGTCTGACATTTATATAATTTTACTTTTAAAGTAACCACTGATTTTCATTAAATTTCCAAACGCAAACATAACCTCCAGCATAACCGCTCTTGAAAAATAATTATTGTTTGAAGCTTCTATCAAGAAAATGAAATCTTTTGAATTCCATTATTCAGTTCATTTTTCTACACTGTGCTGATATAAAAAATTATTCCTAGATCATATATGCTTGTAGAAAAAGCACTGATACATAAAAACTCAATACAGTTTATATTATTTGATAAAGAACTCTTTGTCATTATATAATCCAGATATAATATGTAAAGAGCATGTTATCTCTTTATTCAGCTAATACGTACCGAACCATTGTAGTTGCTTTTTGTAGAGCTGTTCCCCAACTCTCCACATATTCATAATTCCTTCTCTTAGAATATTGTACAACATCATTTGCTAAATAAAACAAAATCAATCTCTGTTCTACTTTAACTCGCTTTAACACATTAAGCCAGGCAGTCACTATCTTTTTGTGGTGTGTCCTATTTTGTAAACACCACTGACAACAAGTATTTATACTATCCTGTGAGTCCTTTAGAGAAGTCAACTGTTTCTCAAACTGTAACACATTAAATTCGGTCTCTGTCACTGTCTGAGTACCCATTTTTATAACTTATAACCTATATTCACTAACACTATCACATTATTTATAAATTGGTTAGTGTTTTCACACTAAACGTTTTTATACATCAAATGCATATGTCTATAGTCCCAATAACTACTCCTTTAAATTCGTACTAGTATATTTTCAATTTGATTTATGAAAATACAAACTCGAGATGTTTGCAAACATTTTCACATGGACGCCAATTTAGTTTATCTTTATTATGTACATTTTCTTCTTCGTGTTAACATTTCAAGTGTATTAAAGTTTTACAACAATGTTGAAAATGTTAAACCATATAAACAAGTCAAAGTTAATTAAGTAAAATTGTCCAACCAAAATTTTTCTGTCAAATCAACCATTATCACTTTTCTGGCTGCTGTTCTTTTCTATTTTCAATCAATCCTGCCAAATCAATATATCAGTTTTCTATAATAAAGGTATGTACGCAGGGCAAAAATAATTCTAATTTGACTGCCGGCGTTTAGATGTCGCCGTATCAGTTTACTAGATCAATCTACAGTGACTTTATAAAATATAGTGGCGACAATGGTGTCAATGACACCATGGTGTCATTGAGATGGAAAATTCAGTTAATTTTGCAAAACCGCACTATTTTTATCTTCGGCTGTTTTGGTTCTAAATCATGCCGAAAAGTAGTAAAATTATGAATATTTGGAATTACTTTTTTTAGGCAAAGAGATATGAAATAAACAATTACGACAAAATAAAATTAGACCCATTAAAAGGGTGTACAAAATATTTTAATCATCGTATGAGATCTAAATATCCAGGGAAGTAATAATGCTCTTCATTTTGTTTTACGGCTTTACGCCATTCGTCGGTACCTTGCACTCATTAGCTCTCTTCGCGGAGCCTGTCAAATTAATCCGGGATCAGTCAGAAGCAATCGTTTAGCTACTTCTTTTATGCAATGCTTGTAGGAAATATCACAGAAAGTAGCTGGACAACTGCTTCTGACTGATCCCGGACTAATTTGACAGGCTCCGCGAACAGAGCTATAGATAATAAAAGAGAGCACTGCTCGGCACCTACATTCTGAAATTTTGTCAAGAAGCACGCTTGCGGCGGCAGTGTAGACGAATGACAGAAAGAGAAAGAGATAGTTTGGTTTCTATCTTTCTCTCATCTTGCGCAGGCAGTGATTGGCTAACACAAGCGAGTACCCAAACTGTCGCACTTTCTCTTTACAACGTCTACACTTTTAAACACGCGGTGCTTCCTCCATGTAGTATATGCTCTAAGATTCTGCCCGTGACTGCTAAAATACAAGATCTGACACGTATCTCTAGAGGGGAATCACTTCACTAGGATCAGCGAAAAAATCCGGCTGAATGAGCGCCCATCTCTAACCGCGTCGCAGCTATTTGATTGGTGTCGCTATTTAAAGACGAATATCCGAATTGACGCTCAGACTTGATATTTTAATTAAGATTTGTATGTGAAGTTAATGAACACAACGAATTGTGCATTTGCAAAGTTAATAATATTAAATAAACATTATTATTATGTAATACATTTTATATAATAATTTATAATATTAATGCATTTTAAGCTTTGATTAGTCAACAAACCATTTTCAAATTTGTAAACGTTTTATCTAAATAATTAAAAATAAAAACAGCAACAACAATAAAATATATTGTAGGTATACCGGGTGTTCAAAAGGTTTGGAATCCGCTATCTCAGAAAATACTGCTCAAACAAAAAAATGATTAGGACAAAAGTTGCAGGGTTTTGAGTGAGCAATCCAACGGTGTCCTTGACCATGAAGAAGGTCATTTAGAGGTCAAGATGAAAAGAGCGCAAAATTTTACGTTCGGACGTGACTGACCATGACCTCAAGGTCATAATCTTTTCATTTCCGGGATCAAAGGTATACGGTTCCATTTAAAATTTTCAACTTCATCTCTAAATGACCTTGACTGTCATGGTCAAGGTCATATCCGAACGTAAAAATTTCAATTTTTTTCCATTTCCGGGGTCAAAAGTATACGGTTCCATATACAATTTTCAACTTGACCTCTAAATGACTTTCAAGGTCATGGTCAAGGTCACCATTGGATTGCTCACTCAAAACCCTGCAACTTTTGTCCTAATCATTTTTTTGTTTGAGCAGTATTTTCTGAGATAGAGAGTGGGTCAGTGCCTGATTTACAGTGGTGGGGGCCTGTAGGCAGCAAATTGGTGGGGGCCTATTCTAGAAAAAAAATATCCTCTTTGGTAGGCCTCTCCCAAAAAAAAAAAAAAAAAATTTGAATTAAATAAAAGTAAATTTTAACCCACTTTCCCTAGGGACAGAAGATTTTTCTTTCTTGCTCATGATGGAGAGGTCTTAAAAAATATCCTTTTTGGTAGGCCTCTCCCAAAAAAAAAAAAAATTTGAATTAAATAAAAGTAAATTTTAACTCACTTTCCCTAGGGACATCAGATTTTTCTTTCTTTTTCATGATGGAGAGGTCTTAAAAAAAATCTTAAAAAAAATAGTTTTCATAAAAAAAAATTGTTAACATGGTGGGGGCCCCTAGTTGATGGGGGCCAGTAGGCTGCAACCTACATCAGCCTATAGGTAAATCAGGCACTGGGGTGGGTTCCAAACTTTTTGAACACCCGGTATAATAAAAAATGAATAAATGAATACTGATTCGACAGAAGCAGAAAGGGGATAAGTCTTTCAAACGGCGTTGAGTGAGAAATTTCTCACACAACGATGTAAAACTACAGTTGATCTTTACGTAGGTACCTACCTACTGACTTCATCGTCATTTATTTCGTGGAATTCCAATAAAACGTGAAAACAAAAGACATTTTGCTATTTATTGACTTTATTTTATTAATACCTTAACATTTTAGTTGTATATCGAATCATTAGATAGATAGAAAATAAAATTAATGGTCGAATTTCATCAAATGTAACGATCGTACTATTCAAATTATTAGAAATTAGTATATCAAACAAATAATGTTAAAATATTCAAATTTTGCTCACTGAGTAATCACAATACAATAAAAAATTTAACTGAATTGAATTAATTCATATATGAATTTCCTTGATTGTATAAAACTACCATAAACTACTAAAATACTAAAATTTAAATAAAAGAATGATAATTTTTTTAAATACGTTCATAGGACAAATAAAACTTATTAAGGCTCTACAGATACTTATAAATGCATGAGGTATTCAGATTACTAATGAGAGGTATTTTTTAACTATTAAATTAATTTATGTAAAATAATATCGACTTAATACCTATAATATGAAAGTAATATTACTGAAAATATTTACCCAAGAACAGAATAAAAGATAATTCAAAACTCCCACATCAAAACATTACAATTATTATTCTACCCATCCCACCTGATGTTAGCTGTATGTACTGCCGAAGATTTTTCGATTTCTCATGCGACTTTATTTATGGTGTATCTCTGTATCTCATTTATTTGTAAATAAATGCATGAATAGTAATTATTATTGTTAACACTTATACGCATGATACATAATTCAATTTGCAAATATTCAGCAGAGACTACAATAGATGTGAATGTGCCTGAGGTGTGTACGCTCGAACGACTGGGAGAATTCATACAAAAATATTTACAATTTTTTTAGCATACTTTCATATAAAATTTGAGGAAAAAGTATAGCACTTTAATTTTTTAAAGTCTGTATACGCCAGTACATTTATTAAAATTATACAAATATCATGCCATCAGTGACAAGTTATGAATAACTTCTCGCTGATGCTATTAATTTGTATTTAACTAAACAGAAATAGGAGATAGCAGATAGCAAAGAAAAGTTATTGATGGGAATGTGTTCCAAAATGTATGTTGCCAAAAATATATTTTCTTTATCAAATAGGTAACTACAAATTGAATATCCAAACGAACCCAGTCAGTGGCGGAGATACAAGGCGTAACTAAGCAAATATTTTTTTTTTTTCTAAAATCACATCACAAAAAGATGTCTTCTTCTATATTGATGAGAAAATCGACAATAATTAATATACTTTTATCATCAACATCATCCACATAAAGAGAAATCTACTACGAAAATCAAAAGTTCCTATCAAATTTAAGGGATGTAGGTATACATTCTACGCAATTAGAATAATAAGTTAATAAGAAAAAAGTAGCTGTAGAACTCCTCTCAAAATGTGAAAATCAATAAAATTTTTAATTTTAGAAATACTTTTCTTTCATGTGTGCGAATAATATGTATACTGCTAGTTTTCTCGAAAGCAGTGTAGATTATTATCATCAGGATCAGACAAAATACGATTTCCACGTTATAGTCTTTCCGATATCAATTGAAGAACCAAGAGGTTGACGGTATATACCAGGTTCGGTCGCTGACGCAGCAACTCGGCATTGAAATATTTGAAAAACTGGTTCCCATACTTATTTAGCCATACCCATATATAGGTCTAGTCGAACTAAACGTGGAGGTGGTAGAAGAAATCGAGCGCGGGCAAACGAAATACAAACACTGCTGCATTGGGCCACTGGGTAATAAATCTCAGCAAGTGGTTGACAAATTGCCCAGCAGTGCAGTGCAGCAATGCGGAATTTGGTGTGATTCAAGTAATTTTAATTTATTATAGACACCTTCTATTAATCATTCATATTACAATTGCGAAAGGGAAAAATAATATTATTACAACATGGCATTTTGGAGACCTTTTGAAAAGGAACAAAACGAAATTTACCATCAATAATATAATAAAATTGTTTGAGGACATAAGTAATTAAAATATGTTGTTGGCCAAATGAACATATAATAGAAATTTTCTGCACATTATACAAATTATTATAATTTTTTACCTTTAACAGAAAACTTTTTTAGGGACGCCTATGAAAGTTATTAAATTTTATTGTCAGGCATGTTCAACTGCGGAAAGACTATACTTGAGATCCTTTTTTAGAAAAATATATCTTACCCAAGATCTTTTTAAGGTAAAAGAATATTCCATTACCCCCTGCATTTCTGCTAGTGTGAAAGAGAAAATAATTATAATTCATAACACTAATACTAAATAGTTGAATACAGGGTGAGTTAGATTTTATTTAAAAAGAATAATTTTTGATTTTTATTTTTTCCAAATTAATAACGGATATTCAAAATAAATTTGGTACACATCATATAGGATAAGTTGCCTTAATGTGTGCAATAAATCAAAAAAGGTAATAAAAAGGTAGTAAGCTTGCAGTTTTAAATAAAAAATGTCTTAATTTTTTGAATACATATGTTCTACGGAAATCTAGTAATTTTTATTTTACATCAGCGATAATTTGTTGTTTAATAGTATATTATTTAACGAGCGTATAATGTAGGCTATATTACACGAGCCGTAGGCGAGTGTAATATAGCCATTAATACGCGAGGCAAATACTATACTTTATCTACGACTTGGTATCCGGTGTTTCAGTTATAAATTTGTATATTTCATCTCCAGTAAATGCTTTTGATTTCTTGGGTTGGTAGCCTTCTGACTGCCTTTTTAATAAACTCGAACTTTTGCGTAAGATTCATATTATGTTTAAGGTTAAGTGTGCTCTTAAGCATGGAACAATGGCTCCACAATGTAGACGATTTACATTTTTTTGTCAATTCCTTGAAATATACCAACAAAGTGTCTTCGGAAAACGAATTTGTGACAATTTTTAGTCGCCAGTCCATAAAGCTGTTATATACAATTGTGTAATTTTTTCGTGATTTCTCTGGAAGTAATTCCAATGATGCTAATTTCGCGGCTTCACGAATTTCAGGAGGGGTGCATCGAATTTCATTTTCACTGTCAGAATTAAACTGCAAAATTACTACAAAAGTCAAAAATGTTTTATTTTGCGAAGTGTTGTCAAATCAATTACATTAGTTACCATAGTAACAATAATTCAAGCAAGCTCGATTCTATTTTGTAGCGCGGTCAGAAGCTATAAGGGATACGTATAAAAATTCATATTCCACACCTGTGGAATATGAAACTCATATTCCACGGGTGTGTAATATGAGTTACATTATGTACTTACTATCACAATTATAATGCGTCTATTATTAAATAGTCGTAGATAAATATATTTTTTCAATCTTGAACAACAAAATAATGCAAGTTTATTTGCAAACTTCTGTTGGCTGAAAACTCAAGATTCTTTTTTAAATTTGATTACTTTATTAATCAAAAAGACAGCATTTTGAAGAAATTTGCACATAATATATCGTATATCTTCGAAAGTACTTACTGGTTTATTCTATCATATCTGACTTTTAAATCTGACACCCTACATATTTCATAAATTAACATCAGAATACCGTATATGGCATCTCTAAATTCGCCTACTATACAAAAGAAATCGTGTAAAAAAATAGTGCTTCAACATTTGCTCTAAGCGTGAAGTTCATCCTCTCATCTAATTAACTTTAACAATTAATTACTAAAAAAAATCAAGTCTGACGTTCCTTGTTTATGCATATCAATTACCATTAGTAACTGACATTACTTGACATTGCCAGAAATTTTTTTGTAACCGCTGCACAATGGAACGAAAGTAAAATTTTCAAGTGTAGGTTTGCTTACAATAATGTGCAGGCGTATGGTGTCTCGCGGAGAAGGTGGCCATTCTGCAGTCTGTCTGTAGCCAGTCATCGTAGTGGTATCTCAAGAATTCTTGCTCAAGTAAGTCAATGTCCTTATATGTCTATGCTGCGTACGATGCAGAAGTGCATACATTGTTTTATATCAGTTTATTGTTAGTAGTAATGCCGAAATTGATACGGCGAAAGTGTATTTTATAGAAGAAATAAGGTAACTAATTCAGTATTTTCAAAATTTGGGCTCTCAGTGGGTGTTCTTTGATTTAAAATTATTCCCGTCCTACCGTAACTGCATAAAAATGAATAAAAAATACTGTTAAAAAGTCCTTGCATTGATTAGAAATCGATATAAATTAGAAACTGTAACTACACCTCAACCAAGAGATAATTCATGTGTTAATTGCCTAATTGTTCTTTCATTTTATTCTATTATACTGTATCTCCTTATAGGAGATAAATGTTACACCTGCGGATAAATTACAATTTTTTTATTTTTACGAGAAGTATTAAAATATTTGTAACAATATTTCCAAAATTAATATTTTCGAATATTGAATAAAAATGTCGCTTTCATATAAATAAATAAAATTATTTGACAAATTCAAGCATTTAAAAATCATACATTTTATTTATTATCAGTGTAGGTAATCATTTTTCCAACAAATAATATAACATATATACCTACCTATTACATATGCCTATCGTGTACATATATTTTAGAAATAATATACAAAATTATCAAAAGCTTTTAATAATTTTTGGTCATTGTACATGTGAAATATATAAGTTAGGGTGTCGCGTTCTACTGGATATTGTCAGCCTGATATCGAAATTCTATAAAAGGGTTGCGTGGTGCACTCTTCACAATGATGGAAAATAATTTACGTGAAGAGCCAGTTAATTCTGAGTAACTTTTTTTATATAAATAATTTAAGAAAAAACTTTTCTGAATCTGAAAATATTTTTCTTTTTCTTTGCATAAAAATTATAACGTCTTCGAAATTAATTTTGAATCGCAGGATTTCTTGTCATATGAAGATCCGATGGTTAAAATTTTAATAAAAATTATTTCATGCACCTTCGTGACTAGAAATTATTTACTTTTTGATTTTATTTTCGACTATTTCATTTTTCTAGAATTATATTTTATTATTTTTGTCATCATTTAATTTTGTATAAATATGTACATGTTACGTTCACTAAAAGGTTACGTTCACCATTTTAATCAGTATAATTATGTACCTCTGACAAAGAACTAATTTTGATAGATATATTTCCAAAATTTTTATCGAGAAATTTTCTTAGTTTTCTACGCTTTTGATACGGCTATGATAATAAATTATTATTTAAGAATATCTATATTTTTTAAATGTGCACATATCACTTTTTGCCATAACTATTTTTTATGCCAACCTGCCAAACAAAATTGTGTCCCTATTCCAGAGTTATCGAAAACATATTTTTTGAAATATAAAATGTGCAAATAAATAGCGGTTTTTCCTATATGGACATTTTTTGAAATATATATTTCTTCTTCGAGACACGGGATTAGACAAGGCGAAAACCTAGCATTCGTGGGATAAATTTTCCGACTCGATTTTTTTGCATATTCAGATTCGTGAGATATTCCTTAACATGAACCAAGATGATGCCGGCCGGATATCTGGTGCCTATTTGTTTAAACAAACTTTTTTAAAACAAATTGTAAAAATTGGTTTTTTCACTCCGGAAAAAATTTTTTTAGATTTTTTGGCACATTATAAACAAAAAAGTTTCTATGCACTATGCCTCTAAAATTGATAGTTTTAAAGTTAGTAAAGTTAGTTAGTTTAAAGTAAAGCCGCTGGACGAAATAGGGAATTCGCGTATGCATGAGAAAGGCTCGCGCGCGGCTCATAGCACTTTATTAACAATTAAAAAACAAGGCTTTAGAATAATACGAGTCCCAAAAACTCTTCAGCATCTTGTAGAGTGATGTTTAAACTTTAATTTAGGTACCTGGCAACATCAAATCAAAAATAACAATTTTTAACCCGGAAATCGGGCGTTGAAAAACATAATTTTCGCATTTTTAGCAATTTAAATTGTTTATAACTTTAAAACTATCAATTTTAGTGGCCTAGTACATAGGAACTTTTTTGTTTATAATGTGCCAAAAAACCTAAACAAAATGTTGCGGAGTGAAAAAACCAATTTTTACAATTTGTTTTAAAAAAGTTTGTTTAAACAAATGGGTACCAGATTTCCGACCGGCATCATCTTGATTCATGTTAAGAAACATGATGAATAAATTAAAAAAACTATAATTTTTCATATTTTTTCAGCTAATGGAAACTTGCAAATAAACTCAGCATTTTTTTTAAGATGTTGTTATTTATTTGTGTAATTTTTTATTACTGTCTTTAATTTGCTATTCCCAGGAAACGTTTTGAGGTCACTGAATATTTTCGAAATTTTACAAGACTTTTTGTTTTATAATTGTATTTCAATGAAAAATGACGTCTTCTATTTTTTATTTTATTAAATTAAAAAATAGTGTAGCACTACAAAGTGGAATAAATTGATAATAATTATAAAACTGTTCATTTGAAACAAAAGTCCTTTTGAAATTATTTGTTATAAATGCTATTTTCAATATAATGTTGTTATCAGAAGTTCAAAAGTGATATTGCTCCTAAAAAATTTTCTGTATACCCCGATATAATTTTTTTAACGTTTTATGATGACATTGTATTTAAAATCGTATTTATAACAAACACAAATTTTGTAGATTTTTTTTTTGTAAAATTGGTTCTTCCTGATTTATCCAAATGCGATAAGGTTTAGATTTAAAAAAAAAATAGGAACTCGAAAATTATTCGTTTTCCAAATAAAATGGAAATACTGTTAGCACTATTGCAAAAACTATTTGCACAGGCAAAATATTTTTTTTAATTTTAACGAGCTGTATCTCGAAAATTAAGTACCGAAGAAGAGGCATTTTTGATAAAAGTATGGACTACTAAATAAAATAAAGTTAATACAAATAAATACAATTTTTATCTGGAATCCCATCAGTATATGTAAGTAGTAGTTGACATGGAAAGTTTGCGCACTCATTAACTTTAGTCATTTATTTAAAAATAAACCATATAAGTATACTTATATATAAATATTACACGTTTAACAAATTTTTGTTCTCTAAAAAAGTAAAAAATCCTTCTATTCGATTAGATAATACCTAAGTTTATCAATTAAATTCGCACAGTCCATTTTGTACGTTTCGTGTATTAATACTATATTTAGCCCTTACAATTAGAGAAGAAAGTTTAAGGTTAATTAATCCTTTCAGGACAATGGCAAATATTTACGTCGGCTTTCACGACCAGAGGAGCAGCAGCAGGGTTTTGAAGCCCCCAGGTGGCGGATCCTCAGATATTTTTGGCACAGGCCCAGTCAAAGCCAAAAACGAAGAAATTAAATCCGCCCCAAACACCCCTTCAAAGAACGACGTGGATACAAAGAATCAAATCAACCCCGAGGAAAAGTCTGATAGTGATAGCGTAACTAACAACAAGCAAGTGGAACAGTCGAATTCTGAAGAAATTAAGATTGAAAATTTGAGCATCAACGAAGAAAACGGCGAAAAACTGGAAGACCGTCCAAGTGAAACCAAGGCAACATCAAAACCCGATACTATAAGCAGTATTATCAGGCAAGACGACCAAGTCGAAGTCCAGAGTCCAGTTATTGAACCTGAGAAGAAAACTCCACAACGCGTACCACCAGGTGGATATTCGTCTGGTTTGTGGTAATTAATTTTAAGTATGTATCCCGCTAAACAATATAATTATAAAAAATAATTCATGTAACCGTATTAGTGAATCGATTAGTAAATGTATACACGTATGTATTGAAGTTGTGGCGATGGCATTTTTAGTTTTCAAATAAAATTTTAAAACTACACCTACTTTTTCATTTGTTTTTGTGAGACTTACGTTCGTCTTAATCATGAAAAAAAAATGAGACATTTTTGCTGATAATGAACCCTAAATGATAAATAAGAATTTTGTGAATGGAGGAAAATTATGTCAATATCAGGTCAATGATTATATAGAAAATAAATTGAGAAATCTGTTTGAAGGTTATAACATATTACAATAATCTTATTTTATATTTTAACCTACTGTTTTCTAATATGAATCCTCGAAACATATACCCAAAAGTTTCGTTTTCAATGTACAAAATGTTCAAAATTAATGAAATTATCTGGATTATCTCGACTTAAATGAAAATAATTTGCTGCTTTGCATGATATTTAGCAATAGTTAGGTACATAGTAGGTATAGCCAAGGCTTATCAGTTTCGCATTTAAAAAAAAAAACATTCTACTTAACGTGCAGTAAGAATACACATTTGTAAAATATTTAGTACCCTATCATAATACAGTCAAATTTTAAATAACTTGGAACGAAAAAAAATGGGGCATAGTTTGTACTCGAACAAAAATTCCATGCCTTTGAACGAAAACCAACTTGTGAGTAAAGTCCATGATAAAAATTTGGACAAACGTTTTAGTCAGGTTTAATTTCTAACAGATGGTTTTCATATTGAACCGCTGTACTCCGTATATATTATACAACATATTATATACTAAAAATTATTGACCCTCATTCATTTTTATTTAATTTCATCAAGTGGGTGCCGATTTAAAACGAAAACAAAGAAAAACAAAAGTGTATGGCTTCTTATTTGGACAAGAGGACAAGGCTGGTTTCTTTTAATATGTAGTGTTACCCACGCGTCGCTAGTTGACCTTCCTCTCTGACGACTAAAAATGGTTTGTTACAGATATCCATATCAGCGAATATACTTTGTAAAAATATTATTAAAGAGATAATTTTATGATATAATAATGTTCTATAAAATTTTATATATGTAATAGGTACATACCTATAGAGATGTTGATGTTAATAGGTACGTCCAATATTTTTCTATTATTTGTAAATAAAAATGATTAAAAATTTGAACAGTAGTTGTACCTAAGGCAACATAATTATCTATGGTTTACACCACAGATTACTGGTTTACATTGTCGTATTAAAATAAAGCAATCTACAGAATTTAAAAAGTGGGGGGAGGTAGGCAAGGGCGTCGCCAAAGGGGGGTGGGGGGTGGCAGCTGCCCTCCCTAGACATTCAAAAATTTTCTTAAGCTAAGAAAATATTAGAATATTAGATTGGAAATTTTTAATAAAATATTTTATTTAGTTAAACTAATTTTGAAAATGAATACCCTACTTTATTTTTTTTTAAAACAATTAATTGTAATAAATTAGTATAAATATTTGTTGACAAAAGAATTTAAAAATATAAAATTTTGTGTTAAAAAAGTAATACATTTCCATATTTTAAAAATTTAGCTCTGGAATTTTAAATTAAAAAAAAGAAGAATAAATATCTGGCTGAGAAATACTGCAGTATATAAAATCTCAATGGCCTAGCAATGATGAGTATACACAGAAAGCTTATTTTTGACAACCATGAAGATTTTATTAATAAAGTGGACGACAAATTTTCAAAAAATCCGAAAAGATTATGTTCTACCTAATTTTCGTTGAATTTCTTTATTTTTTTAGATATTTATATATTTTTGTTTTTTTTTGTATTAAAAAGGTTTTATTAAAAATATTTCTATAAAAAATTAATTCACTGTACCTATTTTTACCTATAATTTATATTTCTCTTATCTTGCCCCCCCTAGCCCATTGGCTGG